ATGTGGCTACTTTAGAGCTATTCTCATGGATGGATTATCAGACATGTAATCCCCCTCACACACACACACATCCAAGACCATCAGATTCACTGAAACACAGGGTGATTACATAAGTGATGATGTGCAACGTGTATTGCTGAGGTTTATTTTCACCTTTATGTTTTACTTGTTTTGTCTTCTTAAAGTTATTTTTAATGGTTTTTTGAATATCTCTTAGTAGATCTGTTGTTTCTTTTTGTACTAATGTAGCCTGCTATTGTTGCTGTTGTTTTAAGTCTCTGTGTAGCCTCTGTGCTCTATTTAACTCTGTGGTCACTTCATTTAACTTGTAAATATGATGAAAAAGACCAAAGACCAAATCTCAATGATTTTATAAACTACTTTTTTTGTCAATAACTTTTCTGCACTCTTGTAAAGCACTTTGAACTGCAATTTAATTTGTCTGAAAGGTGCTGTATAAATAAAGTTTGACTGATTGAAAAAGAATATTATACTTCATACGGTTGTTTAAACTATGTGGCTTTATGCTAAGATATTTATGCTAAGAGATCAGCTAACCTTTTTTTTTTTTTTTTTTTTATGGAGATAAAACTGCTGCCTCTCCTAGTTATGAGTCATTTTTGCTTAATGAGCACTTTTACTTCCTGTGATTTTATCTTCTCATGTGATAATTCTAACTGTAGGACTTATTACTTATGACACATTATTTTCACATATATTAGTAGTAGTAGTATTACCATCATACTGTCATTATAGTATTACTACACTGCTGGCTGTAAATGGGATTTAATAATGCCTAAGAGATTTATCGATGAGAAATTAAATATTGGTAAGAAGTCAAAGTGCTGCCTATGAAAGACCACATTCTAAAACTCCCCAATTTGGAAACCTCTCAACCAAAATGACTCAGTGCCTCAGTGGTGTGCTTAATGGTTAATTCTCTGTTTAGGAGAAAAGGAATCAGTGTTCAGGAAGTGATTTTCGTGAGCTTAAAATATTACAGCCTCACACAGTGATGTGGCTGTGAAGTCCCCTGATTCTTATTAAAGAAAGTCACTCCTTATTAAACGATGAAGCTGTCCTTTGGATTCCTCCAGAGTATTTGGTTGCATTGTGGATTGTGTGTGTGTGTGTGTGTGCGTGTGTGTGTGTGTGTGGGGGGGTTCCATTATATTTTTATCAAATCCCAAAACAGCATCAACTGATCCTTGAAGACTGGATAAAGACATTTTATTTTGGACTGTGCTGTTAAAGCTGGTGTGTAACCACTGGGTCAACTGTTATCAGTAACAATGAGTACAATCTTTTACCTGCTTTTTATAAAGTGTCTTGAGATAACATCTGTTATGGATTGGCGCTTAGCAAATAAAGATTGATAATCAGCAAGGTTAGACACATGACATATTTACACATTCATCTGTAAGGCTCAGGGGATTCAAGGTAAAAGTGTTTTCTTTGTAATCAGTTTGTTTAAAGCTACATTAGCTTCTTCTTGTGTTATTGTTATATGCAAATCACCAGGAAGTTTGTGTCTCCATTGTTGTTGTGGAAGTTCAGGAAGACTAGTGTATTAGATCTGTCATCAGCATACACTAAGGATGATAACAAAGACATCAATGAGTGCTGTAAATGTCTCACCTAAAACCCTTTGAGCATTGACGCCATGTGACAGAGCTTGAGTTTACTTCCTGAAAATGTTGCAGCATTAGAAACAGATTGTTTGTGTTCTCGTTCTTTGTTTTTTTTTAAAAAGCCACAGCTGTGTGTGTGTGTGTGTGTGTGTGTGTGTGTGTGTGTGTGTGTGTGTGTGTGTGTGTGTGTGTGTGTGTGTGTGTGTGTGTGTGTGTGTGAGAGAGAGAGGGAATGAGTGTATGTTTACATGTCTAAACAGAGAAAGAGAAGGGGGACATTTTCTGGCTCCTCATAACTCACGACACACTATACAATCAGCACAACATGTCAGCAGCAGCACATGGGGCACAGCGAGCATTCACTTCTTCTAAGAATCAGCATGGCAGTATTTCAGCTAATGCAGTTCTGGTGTTGTGACACATCCTGTGTGCTGAGGCTGACAAGGTTGGTTAGGTGCACTGCAGACTAATTACTGAAAGGCTGCAAACTGTTTTGTAGTGCTTTCAAGTAAATATATGTTTGACACAAGCTCTTTTGGTTCTTTTCTCATGTCTTCTATTCAATAGCTGCCTGAAAAAAATGTATATGTAAGTATGGAGAGCAGAAAAAATAGTTTTACTCTCGTTTTATCAAAATAGTCGGAAGCATTCAAACATTACTGCTGTTTATTACAGATGTCGCGTCACTACAGCTTTTGAAACAGGTGCATCTGTGGCTTCATGTCTGAGGTTTTAAAGCAACAACTTGATATACTCAAAAGGTCAAAGACCTCTGCACACTCTCTGCATGTTAAAACATATCAACAAGAGGTCACATGACAGTATATTAAAGCACACCAGACTGCTGTAACCTGACTATGTGTGTGGATTATAATTTACAGTTGCAGTCGTGACCCTAACTGAAATCACAAGTCCCCATGTAATTGACCACAGAGAGTGTGTACTGGTGAATGTAAAAAAGTGAAAATGAAATGATTGTGTGAACCACATGGAGTGTTTAGTAATCTGCATGGTGATGTTGAGAGTCCTCAGAGTGTAATTAAGTCTATTTTCAGAGTAGGCCAAACTACAGGATGACATGGAAAGTCCCAGCCAGTGCTCAGTCAGTCGATGACTAAGAAGAAAACTATGATGTAAGACTCAAATACTATCTGTTTAATTTGTTAAGAGAATTACAAACAAAGAATAATCTGGGATGTTGGCTGATTAGTTTTAGTCTTGCTATCAGGAAAATTAAGTGGTTTAAACAGATCGTGCAAGAAATATAAATAGAGGTCACCCTTTGTCCCTGGACTCATGAATTACAATGAAATAAGTATAGATATTCATGTTTCCATAGCTGTCCATAACGTAGTCCGGTTCTGCTTGAGGTTTCGACCTCTTTATAGGACATTTGTTCAAGTGTGTCAGTTAATAAACTGATGTAAATGATGACACCAAATCAATATTCATTGGATTCAATACAATCACATATTATACCAGAAATATCATCTTGTTTCTTCCACAAATGATGGAAATGATGGCTGTCACTACTGACATCTTTAAACAGCAAAGAAGAGAGGAGAGTGCACTGCTAGCAGAGTTCAAATGTAAGCCATAGCTAACAAAATATCAGCTAATCGTTTTCTTTCAAGAACAATATTTAAGGCTCTACTTTTTAGTTTAAGCTAAGATAGTTAAAGCCTGGGGAAGTAAAAAAAACAACATGTTTAATATTGGTACCCAATCTTTCTGTTACACAGCCTGCACTGCTTGTAGATGTTTGCATTCTGCTGCTAACGCTAGCTTAAATGTTTCTGGGTGCTCAAGCTTGTTTTTAGATGAGAACATCTGTGTAGAGAGTCATACAACATCAAAGTTTTTATCTGGCAACAAAGTATTTTCTCATCCACTCAATAGAATGCTACACTTTGTGGCATAGATATTAATGCTCCCAAGATGATGTATCCTGCAGACTTTGGTTACCCTCTGTCTTCCCATTAACACTGATACAGTGTGTATGTGTTTAGGAATGAAATGTGAGTGCGCAAACACAAAACGGTGAATTTTAATACCTATATTATACTACATATGCTTGTAAGCATGATCACAGTGATCATGTTAGCATACTGCTTTGAACCACTGGCTGTAGCTGTAGACTTAATATATATTTTAACAGTCTTATTAAAGCAGAAAGGTGGTTTGGATCCCTGTTCTTGTTGTGTTGTTGTGACCAGGCGGGACAGCTGTCCTGCCAGCTCGACCCTCCAGAAACCTTCATTACACACACACACACACACACACACACACACACACACACACACACACACACACACACACACACACACACCTGTTGCTGCTCCTCCTGGTTGAGTTTCATCACTTGTTCAGATTCTGTTGTGAAACGCTGCTCATCAGTTTCACTCTCTCTCTCTCTCTCTCTCTCTCTCTCTCTCTCTCTTTCTCTCTCTCTCTCTCTCTCTCTCTCTCAGGCCTCTCACATCTGCCAACTCGCATGGCAACCGACGAGACCACATGCCTCACGTGGTGTAACATTCGCCCTCCTGTTTGTTTCTCAAAATATCATCGGATCACCTATAGTTTTTCCATCCCCCCTCCCCCCACCCACCTTTTCTCCACAACTCCTCCCTCTGTCACCTGGACTCTATTTGTTGGCAGTAGGTGACTAAAACATTTGACCCAGTGACTTCTGGTTTCAGAGAAATGCACATAGAGTCCCGTGTAATACATCCTGGTCACATTATGCGCACTCCACATGACATATTTCTCTGAAAGTCATTGATGAATGAAGTTGTGTAATCAGTCAGTTTAGTCATTACTGTTCCTTTCCTTTGAGGATTCATTTAAATTATAGTTTGTCTTTACACTTCTTCATATTTACATTACACCTCATTTAGCTTTGATTCTCTGAATTTCACCTCCATTTCATGTTCAGCTCCACGTGTTTTCTTTACGTGCAGACACATTTATGTCTGTCAGCTTAGACTTCATTGGGCGCCACTGGCTTCAATTTTACCCGCAACAGGTAGAATACTGCAATTTCAACATGTTCACACTGGATGAAATATATAAGGCTGCCATTGTAAATGAACACCTCTCTGGGTCATCCTCTCTGCCCCTATTGTGTGTGTGTGTGTGTGTGTGTGTGTGTGCGTGTGTGTGTGCGTGTGTGTGTGCGTGTGTGCGTGTGCGTGTGTGTGGCAGGAACCTGTCTGGGCATGTTGTCGACACCACAAGAGTGTGAGTGGGGTCAAACAGACACATGATGATACAAACAGGTTGCACGTGATGCTCAGATTGCATTCACTGTAAACTGACTAACAATACTAAAGAAATCTTTAACTGATAGCTAGAATGAGAGGCCACATGTAAGGATGGACTTTTTATTATTAATAACAATTATAATGATTTTCAATGTAAAATTAGCAGTAAAAACTTGAAGAAAGAGTAAAAAAAAAATCATACGAGAAACATTTTTAAAAACGTGGAACACAATTTGAGGCTAGTCTTTAAGCTCAGGAATCAAACGTCAAAGTCGATAATCATTTCAGCACACAGAAGTATCATGATAAACTGTGCATGTTGTCATGGAATATATAAAAAACACATTACCAACCAAACATTGTCCATGTCAAATGTCAACAAATTCTGAGAATGTTATATTAAAATTCTGACTGCACAAAAAAACTTAACATTACCATCACAATAATTGACCCACAAGATGAGTTGAACAGACGCAGCAGCAGGTTCAGACATACAGCTGAGACCTTCACCACGCAGAACACAGCCGCAGGATTTAGACATGACAAGTGAAATCTCATGATTTAAAGGAGGCTCAAAATAGCACCGTCAGCTTTAGTGAAGTTGGACAGGTTAAGAAGCGGCTGCTGGATAGGTTTAATTTTTATAGGTTTGTCTTGACTGAAAACTTTTTAAAAGACATGGCATATTGAAAGTTACTTTTAAAAAGCATTTACATAATGTATAATTCAGGAGTGTAAATACTTTATTAATCCTAAAGGGGAGATTGTGTAATTGGTAAATTAATGATATGGTATGCATGTTTCTACATTTTTCTCAACATGAACCTCTTTTGAAAGAATTTTCTGTTTAAAAAAAAAAGGTGGTTGAAAATACTAGGACTCTAGTATGAGTTACACTGCAGTTAGGATTTTGCCCTCGTCGGTGACACGTGCGTCAGAGTCAGAGAGCCGTGGTCAAACAGTTTATAAGGCAGAGTCCCTTTAGATGTCCAAGTGTCTGTCTTTGGGTCGTAGCATTCAAAACTGTCCAAGTCCTCGATGACATCATGGCCATTGATGTGACGTCCGCCGGTGACGTAGAGTTTGTTGTTGAGGACGGTGGCAGAGTGGTGCATCCTTCTCTCCTTCAGGTTGGCACACTTGATGAAGCGGTTAGCCTTGGTGTCGTATGCGATCATTCTCCTCGTGTATCCTGTGACAGGAGGGACATTAATCTGAGTTGGTCCAACAAATGCTACTTAAGCAGAAAACAAAGTAACTACAATTGGGTTCATCATGAAATGTATTAAAACTTTAACAAAAGCAACATTATTATCATGTAGCTTATATGTTGTTTAGATTTATTTCTTGTAAGCTGTTTTCTACCTCCAACGATGTAGATTTTGTCGTCTAAAACTGCAGCGGGAGCCGACACATTCTTCACTGTTCTGTTCTCCATCTTTGACCATATGTTCCTGGCAATGTGATACACCTAGAGGATGGGATGGGAGAAGTGTTAAGGGTAGAAACAATTAGTAATCAATTCAACAAGAATGGAGGAATGAAAACACAAGCGACGTGCATCGCATTCACACCTGCTAATAAAATGAAATCAGCATCCTGGATTTGATCAGAACTTGCTTTGCATTGGCACTTGATTTTTTTAAATGCGATCTCCTCATGCTAGTAAAGATGGAAAAAAAACATACAGGAATGTTTGGGTTTTTTCCAGCAGTATGTTCTTTGCTTACACTGCTCTGTTTTTTTAAATAATTGACCTGAAACCAGTTGATTTTATGGGGGAGGCTTATATTTTATAGTATGGGACCGCTGTATTTTCTGATTCCTGATACAACATTTTAGACAGTATTGGAGGCTCAGGCTGATACCACTGGGACACTTAAACAGAGCTAAGGATGTCAGTTAATTCTATGAATTATGTGTACATTTACATGACGTCAAAATACAAAGTAAGCAAGTCTACCTCCAGATGAGGCAGATCTGATAACATTCTGATCATTAGCTTTTTCCTCCAAGTTATGTGCTTCTATACTGATCTCATTTTTAATACCAGGTGTAAATGGGTTTTTAGCGACTTGAATAACAAAGCGTCCTACTTGTATTATCCTGACAGGGTTCTGCATGGCATCCTCCCCTCCAAACACATAGATCCTTTGGTTAGTTGCAGCCACTGCAGGGTGCAGCACAGCCTCGGGCATGGGCGCCATCGTCTCCCATTGGTTGAACATGCTGTTGAACCTGACAGCATTATTTAGAGTCAGTTATTGTTTGCCATATTTGTGTGTCTCTTTATGCTCTTTATGTGCGTGGTAATGATCTTACCTCTCCACGCTGCCTGTCAGTTGCATGTCAGTGCCGAGGCCGCCCAACACGAAGATGAAGTGGAGGTAGGAGACACTCTGGTGGGCAAAGCGAGGCTCCAACATGGGCTCTGCTGTCCTCCACTGATTGGTCTTTAGTGAGAGTGTGTAAACGGTTGTGCTGACTTGGCTGTACTTTGTGTTTGTGATCAGGCCACCAATGACATACAACACACTGTGGAGAGCGACGTATGACGCTTTATACAGACGAACAGGCAACTTGGCGAGCCACTGCCACTTCTCGCTTCTCTCATCGAAGACGAGGGCTTCCCTGGAGGTCTGCTCGTTGTTCTTCCTGCCACCTACAACCACCAACATGTCATGATAGGAGTATCGCCTCGGTGCCACCCATAGAGGTTTGAGGTCGACCGCCGTATCGATGCATTTGGGGCTGACGGCAAACATGAGTCGTCTTACGGATTCGATGAGCTCGGTGCAGAGGGTGGACGACTGGATCAGAGGGTCGTTAGCTATGAACTGGAAGAGGTAGGTGGGATGGATGTGGCGAAGACGAACTTTCTTGAAAAGGTCGCTGATGGCGCCGCGTCTTGATAAAGGATCGTGGTGGATCCAGGCAACAAGAGTCTCAAACACCTGCTCCTCCTCAGCGCAAAGACTGTCATCCTCCAGGTATCCCATGAGCTCAGGTAAGGAGAGCTCGCACAGATCCTCGGACACTGACACGTCCGAGAAGCTCTCCATGGCCATCTCTTTGGCTTTGTCTCTCAGACTGTTGCAGATCATGATCTCGGAGAGTCTTATCATGCTCAGGCAGTTGTCGGGGCTCAGCTGCTCCTGCAGGAAAACTGAACAGGCCTCAAAGAGTCGGCCATATTGCAACATGGATGCCGCCTGCATCACAGGCAAAACAATCTCAAAGCTAATGCTAATGAGTCCTGTGTAAACATAGTCGACGATGCTGCTCAGAATGTTTGACGTGATGCCCTTTATGTTGATCTTTGTCTGCTGTCTCTCTAAGAAGTTGTTGCAGAACATGGCTCTGAAGTAGGGGCTGCTGGAGACCAAGACGTTGCGATGACAGGGGAGCTCGGTGTGATCTGAACACAGCCACACATCAGTCAGGATGTTCTCCTGCCTGAGTCTGTTCAGCTGCAGCAGTAGGCTGGACGACTGCTCCTGGTCTTTAAAGTGGAAGACCTTCATTGCTGGTTGGTCCATACTGCAGACAGAGTCCATGAAGTTCTCTGAAAATGGATTTATTTTTTAGTTGTTTTAGTCTATGAACTTAAAAACAAATATCAACCAGTTGTTGCCCTCTTTTTTGGTTCTTTTCGTCTTGCTGTGTTAATTGCAACTTCATTCAAACATCGGATGTATTATAACTAAACTGGTTTAGTTTCGGTTAGACTGTAGGGAAGAATCTTTTTAAGATTCATGTTTTTGTTTCTGCACGATCAGGAACCTGTGTATATCTCTGACCGGCTCCATCCCCACATTCCAGATAGATCCCTCAGGTCTTCTGACCAAAGCCGTCTCATTGTCCCTCATGGCAGATTGAAAACAAAAGGGGATCCTGCCTCTGGGTTTGTTGCTCCAACTCTTTGGAACACTCTTGCTGTACACATACGCTCTTGCAGTTTCTACTGATGCTGAAGACACATCTTTTCAAATGGCTTTTAACCACCTGTTTCTATTTATCTTATTATTGACACATCAGAACAAATTCTGCATTGTTGCACTCAGTCTTTTTATGAACAGGGCCTGCGTGTACACCAGATAGATTACTACAGAAACACCTGTGCAGCTATTTCACTTACAGGATTGTCTTTTTATATTTGATTTTGTAGTCCTTGAGCAGCTGGTGCTTCTGTTGTGTGATTGTTGTTGATTGTTTTTGTTGTTTTATTAGCTTTCATTATATGTAAAAAAAATACAGCCTTTTTGCTCATTTGCAGCATGAATATGGGAGACATAAAGTGCAAAACAAATCAGATAAATGTAGTTCTTTGCATTGATGCAACTCAATATATCAGCTTAAACAGATGAATGCACATAATCAAAAGGTGTAAGCGAGTTATGAAACATATTTAAATAATATTTACATGAATGAAACCATGCAAACCTGACATAGAAACAGGTTTAAAGGTAGCTCATGAATCAGTTTCACCTCTTACCTGTCCTTCTTCTCTCTTTATATGTTTTCTGTTGGTCCCTCTCTGTATTCAAAGCCAGATCTGAGCAGAAAATCTGACGGCTTGACATTTCCTGTCCTTTCTTCCTTGTTTCTCTCGTGTTGATGCTGTGTGTGTGACTGAATGTTCTGAAGGGGGACTGTCTCTTTGTAGGAGCGTGTTGCGTATACTGTTTGTTGTTATGGTCTCTTTCCACGAGGTCTCTGTGTACATTCCTCCTCCAAAAATAGAGACGCACTTTGGCAACACCCCTGCACACTCACATGTGATCTGTTAGTGTGCTTTCTTAGTGTCTGACTCCCTAACATATCTCTTTTCTTCTATTTCCTCTTTCATTTTCTGCATCTTTCCCTCTTGTTTCGATAATAACTTCCCCCCATTTATTGCAATTCCTATTCACTCTATCTTCTTTATCTCTGTCTGACTCATGTATGTAGCAGTAACAACAGCTCTAATACTTTGAAACATTCCTTCTGTTGGCTAATCAGACTGCTGTCTGCGTCGGTTGAAATCCAAGAAACAAAACACTAGAGGTATGACCAACCAGTGTATGACAAAAAGAATCAACAACATTAAAACTCGCTGGCCATGAATATTGGTGTAAAAAAAAGCAATCGCAAATTAGATGAAATGTTTTCAGATTTGTTTCCGAGAATTGATTTATTTTGCAACTGTGTCTAAGTGTCTTTTACAACCACAACATATGCTCACCTTTTTATCATAGTATTGTTTGAACTATATTCTATGTTTTATGTTTCAAAACAAAAAGATTATTCAGTATAATAGCATCTTTGCCCACATAATTGTTTGCCTGTTCCTTAAATGTTGTAATAAATCAAAGCTCGTCTGGATTTCTCATTACAGCTTAGAAACAACAAAAGTGGAATGCATTTCCAGTCCTCATGTTGTGATGTGTTTTTCTTGTGCTCAGTCTTGTTTTCAGAGCTCAGCAAATGAGACATAAATAGCTTCCTGAGATACCACAACCACTCGGGGTCAGTTCAATGTGGATTACACAACAAATCCATTGACGTGTATCATGAATTGCTGGACATATATGTTGCCAGTTTTCTTCTTGATGTTTGTGGGCTATAATAAAGAGGGGGGGCTGGGGGGTAAAAGGAGCACAAACATTGCAAAAGAAAAGTAACTTAAGATCCAGTCAGTCTGCAAACTTCAGTATTACATTAATAAGGGATTTCTCAATTCTCTCACATGACACAATGACACCAGGTCAGCTGTCCATGTATTGCAGTCCTAACTAAACAGCACCATCTAGTGTTTGTGTGTTCAAACTGTCATTTTCACAATGGTGGAAAAATTGGCTCCTTCTTCTAATCATCTCCCTGGGATTTTTCAACTTCCTGAGTGTTTTCAGAGGGTTTTCTTTCCAAAGACAAAATACACAACAAAAAGGTCAGCTAAATGTGTAAGGTCATAAGTTATCTGTACCTGCAGGGCAATCCTGACCGCATCATACAACTTAATGTCAAATTTGATGTCTGCCCTTTTTGCATCACTGACATTATAATTATCTCATGGATCTGTAAAGTGAAGGGCAAAAGCTTAACTTGTTTCCCCAGAGGATTGCAGAGTCATGTTTATAACCCTCCCTCTCATATTCAAAGCTGTTACTGCCTCCTTTAAAGTTAAGCACATTGTCTCGTATCTGTTGTTCCTTCACCTTGACAAAAAGGACTCATTAATTGTCTGCCTCCGAGCGAAATAGCTTGTATTAAGAATGAAGGCTTTGGCACAGTTTGCAGCAGGCCATTTTCATGCAGCAGCGTTACTGTTACCGCCCACCGCCTGGTGCTGCTTCTTCATATTGCTAAATGGTTATCTTCCCATAAGCACATGGTCTAATAGAGCCCATACCCAGGGGATTTAGATTTTACTGATTAGTATTGTGCATGTGAGTGTGCTGGTCCGTGTGTGTGTGTGTGTGTGTGTGTGTGTGTGTGTGAAGAGCAAACTGCTCTCTTTGGTCAAATAAAAATAAATTAAATAGCAACTTGGACATTAAGTTCAAATTACTTCCTGACTAAATTGATTAAATTTGATTACTAAGAACACAACTACAGGTAAGATATCATTTTACAGATGTTTCCATGTTTGTGTCCCCCTTATGAGCCCTAATCAATGAGTTGGATAGAAAAGAAGACTAGAGCAAACAAAGAGCATTGAGTATTCATAGGGAAGGGTCAAAGCTCTTCCCTAAAAGCCAAGATAATGAGTCTTTCCTTTCATCCATGTTTGCCCCTTTTATTAAAACGATTGAAAAGTGAATGAGACTCTATGTATCAGTGCTGATTAGTGCTATTCCACTGCGCAGCAGAGAAAAGTAAAAACCCAATAAGATGTCCTGCAGACAATCTTTTTTTTTCCTATAATAATGATCACAAGCATTATATCCTGCCCAAACATCAACTGTCTCTTCTGTTGGTTATGGTACTGGTAATCTCAAATTGATATATATATATATTTTTTTCTTTTACTTCTTCCATGATAAACCTTTGCTTTCCTCTTTATGTAAATGGGTTGTCTCTTTGTCATGTCTGTTTAAATGGTTTACACTCACATAGCCAGAGGCATGTGAGTGCATATGGGGAGAGGTCTACAGGTTATATATTACCAATGGTACTTAATTCTGGTTTACTCAGTGACACATGTGGTTATTCATGCTAATGCTAAGAACACCATACATTATATGCCTGCTTTTCATTCAATTTTAAACATCTTGTCCGTCAGCAATAGAACAGAAGATGATCCATTAGTAGAAGTACTAGGGTTTGTACCGATGCAAATATGTTACTCTTCTAAATGCCTTTTGTCCATATTATGTTGCTACATAAAACACTGATGCAAGTCACATACATAGTGTGCATGCATTGGCTGTCTTAAAAATTTAGCTAAACAAATGCATGATGTATATGCATACAACGAAACTGTGAATCCAGGGTCCCTTGTGTATTTGCACACCATCTGAATCAATCACAAGAAAAACAGACTCCATCACTGACAATGCAAACTAAGTGTCAACATAAAAAGGATTGGTATTATTATATGAAAATCTAAGAACTGTAACTATACAGCCTATTTGATTTGATGTTAATGTGTGTTGATTTCTTATAGTGAATTATAGATAATTGTAGTTGTTGAGTCAAATGAATTTTGGTGATTAGATTAACATTTAACGAAGTCCTCTTTGCATCATTTGTAAATTAAGAATCAGATCAAATGAATTGTTCAAGGTGTTACACGAGTTACCCAGTACACAGACTACTTATGAAGAAAAAGTCAATCCTGATGTAATTTGGGAGCTTTAATCAAGTGTTGGATTTGCGGATTGCCCTTTCAGACCAACATTATTGTATCCACTAGGTGTCAGGCCAACGTTATGCATACTACAGAGCGTGGAAAAGCTGACTGTGTCTCCTGTGACTTCCAGGAAAGTATTCAGGCTAAACTCACAGTCAGCAAGTAAACACAGCAGATGCACAAACTGTTGAGATAACAACTGCATGCCTGGCTATTGTAGCTAAGTTAAACCAACATTACAGAACAAAGAGAGAAAAATAAGATATCACTCCATCCAGATATCTTTAGACCGTCTTTATACTTCTGCAAATATGAACTGATGTGATTTTAAAATGATCATGTAGTCATAGATAGATGTGGAAAATAATTGAAACCGAGTGAGAAAGATGTTTCAACCCCTCGAGTCAATCTGCCGTGGGAGTATAACTCCCAGGCGTCCACATTGACAACTCAGAGAGCAGTAATCTAGCTTTGAAGGAGAGACGTCCAGGCAAAAATCAACAAAGAGCGAGGAGGAGCGAGGGAGGTTTGAAATGCAGTCTACAGAGACAAAGAGAGAGACAGAGGGAGGTTTGTGCTGAAAGGTAAAGGGTATGTATGTGTGTGTTCTGTACATACACATACACACACTCTCAGGCCAGGATGAGGTCTTAAAAGGCTTACAGTTAGCTGCTTAAAATTCCTCTGATGTAACCAACACACACAGGACATGCTATTTAGAAGTAAAAAAATGTGCTTTGTTGGAACAAACGATGTGGAGGGAAAATGTTTACTTAATGGTCCTGCTACTGAAGCCCTCCCAAGGTTCCAACCTTGTTTGTATGGCCACCGCTGTGCAACATGTCTAATAGAGTCAGAGACGCTGTGTCCGATTGTGGGTGGTGTTTGTGTGTGTTTACGTTGCTACATATGGAGGGGGGCAATTGTGTGTGTGTGTGTGTGTGTGTGTGTGTGTGTGTGTGTGTGTGTGTGTGTGTGTGTGTGTGGAGGAGATATTGATATTCCAGCAGCAGCAGAAGCTGAAGCCAGTGTCTTTAAAGTGTCAGCCCTCAGCAGCCAGCCAGGTGTACCCAAGGTAGAGGAGAGAAAATGTGCGTGAGGGAAGGGAGAAAAGAGAGCAAAGAAGAGAGATAGAAATGTAGAGAGAAAGAGAGAGGCCATGAAAGACAGCAGACAAAGGCAGAGGAGATGAAGAGGCAGACATAGAGGGCGGAGGGAGAGAGAGAGAGAGAGAGGAAAAAATATGGAGATAGGAGCGAGAGCGCGAACACTTTGGCGGGTTTTCTGGAGGTGAAATTACTCCGAAGTCTTTGAAGGCCTCGTTGCCTGCCCTCTCTTCTGTCAGCAGACAGAGAGAGAAACAGATGGACACAGAGGGAGCGGTGGATGGAGGGACAGCTGGTGTAAATGTCAGGTTTCAAAACAGAGCAAATTATTAGCGGGTCAGTGAGTCCACACAAACACAAAAGAATAAATCACACAAAACATTAAAAAAGCATTTTCTGCCATTAAACAGAGTCTAAGATCAAATGTTGCAGGATTCCTACAGTGACTCGTTTTTTACATGTCTGGTTATCTTTGGCCTGCATGATGTTTCTATTGCCAGCCACTCTTTCTCCAGTAGACTTACAAAGGTATAGTGCTGTTCCTGCTGCTCCTCCTCAACTCAGCTCATCAGGTTCACACAGCGCCACAGGAGCCACAAGAGCCACAGGAGCCAAACGCTGCTGTCGATCACGGCAACTTTTATGGCTTCAAATAACTAATTAAAACATAAAAATATTTTGTATAAATCAGCACAATAAGAACTAACTACAAAGACAGAAAACATGTTTGAGGAAAGTTTACTTGATGTGTATTTTGAATTTATTTTTTGAACCTTGACCTCAAGTCAGTAAGCATAGGGAACTC